CTCTGAGATATAGACCTAGTAGTGGTATTGCTGGATCAAAGGATATGCACAGTTTGATTGCCCTTTGGGCATAGTTCCAAATTGCTCTCCAGAATGGTTGGAGCAGTTTGCAACTCTATCAGCAATGCATTAGTATCCCAATTTTCATACATCCTCTCCAACTTTTATCATTTTTCCTTTCTGTCATATTAGTCAATCTGGTGGTATGAGGTGGTACTTCAAAGTTTTAGTTTGCTTTTGGAGAGAGTTTTGGTAGAGTGATAAAGTTGGAAGCCAGATTGTAAGGAGTTAACAAGAGAGTAAGAAGAGAGAAAGTGGAGGCACCTATTGCAGATGGCCTTTTCAAGGAGTTTAGCTACCAAGGGCAGAAGAGCGATAGGACAATAGTTGTCAGGGATGGAAGGATCAAGTGAGGGTTTTTTCAGGATGGGGAAGACACTGGCATATTTGTGAGACAGAAGGGAATGAGCCAGTAGATAGGGAGAGATTAAAAATTAGTGAAAGAGTGAGGATGACAAAGAGGATAATATGTTGGAGGAGATAGGATGGAATGGGATCGCTTGAACAAGTAGATGGGATAGCTTTGGTAAGGAGTAAGACCACCTCATTATGTGAGATAGTACTGAAGGAAGAGATAATTGCAAAAAGTATCTTCTTTGTTGTTAATGTCAAACAAATGCTAAATAAATGGTAAAATATTCATGAAAAGAGACAGGCATTACATTAAGGATCTTAGAACAGCATTTTTCTTAACTTTTTTGTTTGCACTTCTATGGCTGCATAGCACCGTCACAGAAATAGAATTAAATTTTATAGAATTATTGGTTTGAGTGAATATCTTTTAATATCTAAAGATGAAAGACATTCTAATTATTCCTTAACACAGTTCACAGTGAAGGAACAGCTTTTCATATGCATATCAAAATTTTTACTTGTTTACAGTTTTTTCCTGTTTTTGCTTAAAATTTAATGTCATGTAAGGTGATTTCTATGTAAAGTGTTTTAGCCTCTCATTTCAGAGAATTATTGTAGACCCTATGACAGCTAGCCTGTGTGTAGTATACATTCACTTAAAGAGTTTTATTAAAATTTCAAAGACCACAAATTTTTTCCAACATGATGCTCTGCAAGCAGCATTTTACAAGGAAGATGAGAGTTTATTGGGAGGAGTTTGCCTTGGTTTGTATTCCCAGAAGCAAAGCTGCAAATACAAGAGTTCATTTTACAGTCTCATGACTTTCTCAGCATGTTGTTGGCTGCCACGTTACATGCACTGTGGGGTTTCATTGTTTTGACTTGGTTTGCATCCATTGTCCAATGTCCAAAACCAAATCACTAAATCCGAGGCTTAGGAAAAAGTTAAGAAAAGCTGTTAATAAATTGCACATAAGAACTTTCTGTTTGGTTGAAATAATAAGTAGACAATGTTGTTTGGATAGCTTTTTGTCGTTTGGGTATTTTGATTAGAAATTAATTTTAATTCAAAAAAAATTTTCTACAATAGAAATAATTTGCCTGTGGGTTATAATAATTTGACTATTAAGGAGAAGAGAGTGATTAACAATGTCAAAGGCTATAGAGAAATCAAAGAGAATTGAGAAGAGACTGTTGGATTTGATAACTAAAAGTTCACTGGTGACTTTGGAGAGAACAGTTTCATTGGAATGATAAGGTTGGGGGGCAACTAGGTGGCGCAGTGGATGGAGCACCAGCCCTGGAGTCAGGAGAACCCGAGTTCAAATTTGGCCTCAGACACTTGACACTAACTAGCTGTGTGACCCTGGGCAAGTCACTTAACCACGTTGGAAGCCATATTGTAAGAGGTTAAGAAGAGAGTGAGAGAGGAAGTGGGGGCACCTATTGTAGATGGTCTTTTTAAGGAGTTTAACTATCAATGACACTTAGCACGGATAATAATTTACATTGTTTCTGTAAATAATCCCTATTCATGAGATTAATCAAGGAAGATCTTTTAAAATATTAAATCATAAACCATATATATACAGATATATATAATACATATATCTGTATATATATGTGCCCACTGGAAGGATTCCACAAGTTTTCCAAATATAGTATTAGATAAGCCTGTAATTAAAAAATAACAAAAAAGTAATTCTTTGTTAATGCATTTTCAGTTACTGCCCTTTAATTATTTCCTTTTAAACTTATTTTTTTCCTTTACTAAATGAGACAATATAGACAATATAGATACAGCAGGGGGAAATCTTAGTTATTAAAAAAAATTAAAGGATAGCTTGAATTATGAAAATTTTCAGCTGTACAGGTTCACTGTTTTCTAGTATGTGTAAAACAAAACAATTAACAGACTTTCTAAGTAAAGATATTGTTGAACTTTCATTAGGATTAAATAAATTGCTTATTTTTAGTCATTAGAAACATAATCCATTTGCTGTAGTGCTAAATAAAGTCTAAAAAATACTCTTAAGTGCATTAAATATGGCTCCTATATAAATTTGTTCACACTTAAGTTGCTTAACAAATTCCTTTTATGATAGGTTATACAAAAATGAGGAACGATAGTGCATTCTAATTATTACAAATTCTAAATTAGAATCTAAGTTATCAATTTAATTATTTCCTATAATAATTATAAAATGTTATACAGTTTGAAAAATTAGTTTATTTTTTACCTTTTTCTCATCTCCAATTAATTGCTAGATCAAAGCAGATAAAACACAGGCCTGGGATATCATTTATTAATAATGTCATACTTTCAAACATGTTATAGAAAGTTGCCTATTAATTGAAATTTTGGATATTAAACAGTTATTTTTTTTAAACTTTTGAATGATCATGTCAAAGATGATCCAAGGGATCATAGATTTAGAGCTGGAAGCAATTTTGGATTGTATCACCCTCATTTTATATATGAAGAAACTGAGGCTCAGAGAGATTAAATGACTTGCCCAGGGTTAACAACTTGAGTACCATTTGATAATCATGTAATATCTGAGGTAGTGTTTGAACTCAGGGCTTCTTGACTTCAAGTCCAACACTCTTATGTACCACACCCATCTAGCTGCCTTTTTGAGTCTCAGTTAATCTTCAGTTGGAAACTACTTCTAGTACTTTAGATTTTTATAACCTTCACTGTTTCTTAAATCTAAATTAATTAATAATAATTAATGCTTGCTGACTGCAATAGGAAAACTACTATTTAAAAAAGCCCTATTGCAATTCTTTTGTTATATCATTCCTTCGTTTATCTCTTCCTTATTCTTGCAATCTTGTATTTTAATGCTTTTTCCTTTTTCAGTAATATATTTCTCAAAGAATGTAATTTTACTTAGACATTTAAGTTCCTAAACCTATAAATAGAGGATTCACTAGAATTCATGGATTAATCTCTTGAGTTTTCCAGTGGAGAATTTAATTTCACTTTATGAATTTTTATGGCATGATAGAATATTGAGACTGCTAACATATTTGTAAGAATGATTTCCCAAGTTCTTAGTTTGAATTAACTCCTTCAGGCCAATTCTTAGGTGTTAGGAGTAATTTATTAAATAAAAGGAATCTTGAAACATGAGTACATTTTTTGAAAATAATAAGATAAGATTCTTAACCAGTAGATCAGGACCAAAAAGTTGTATTATAGGTGAAAAATTATTTTAAAAAATAAAACTATTTTAGTAATTAAAGATTTTATTGTCATGGGTAGTGTTTTTGGCTCCTTTGAGCAATGTGTTTATTTCTCCTATTAGTGCTATCACTTGTTAGATCACTAACTCTTGAATAAGGAGTAGAAATGAGTCTTTAAATGCAAGATAGTGACAATAGTCTAATACAAGACGTATTCCAAGGATAAAGTAGTTTTTAATGGATAATAAGTCTATTATCAAAAAGTTGAAGTTCTGCAGATATTAGTTGAGTAAATTAAATTTTAAAAGTCCGTAAAAACAAAATCACTTTTAGTGAAAAGAGAATTTGGAAAGTTAGGAGAGAAGTGAATAATTTGCAACAGTGATTTGCATTGAGAGAAGTAGCACAATAGTCATAATCAAGGACATGCATAAAAAGTCATTTTGAGAATGAGGAATAATATGCATATAGCATGAGTGTGAGTTAGTATCCAAGAATATTAAATGACAGAAAGGAAATCCTTCAGTGCATTGGGTGTATCTATTATGGAGGATTTATGGAAGTACACGGACAGGAGTGTCAAGATGAGAAACAGTGGATGAATTATAATTTGTACTGGTAGAAGTGACTACAGCAGACATCATTAATCTATTTAAATATAAAATTTATCATTAATATTTTTAAGAGCCTCTTCATTTAAGAAACAGAAATGGAAACCTGTGTTGAAATCAGCTCCTATCTTACCATCATTTCGATGCAGAAATACGCTAACTATTCTTTAGTTTTTTGTTTATACTTTATTATTCAAAGCCAGAAAAAGTCATTGTTTAGGGTGAATGAATGAATGAATAAAGCATTTACTTTGCTTAACTGTGCTAAGTACTAGGAATACAAAGAGGGAAAGGAAGACAATCTCTGCTCTCTGGCACCTCATATTCTAATGAGGAGACAACACAAGGTTTCAACTGTAAGGTCCCGTGGTTCTTAGGATACAGTGTCAAAGCAGATATTAATTCCCCTTTAATATCACTTGTACTAGTGAAATCATATCAGTTTTTGATGTTGAACCATTGGATAGTGTTTAAGGACTTTGGTGGCAAGAACTTTATTAGGTTATGCTTCCTAATACTTGTATTGTTCCATCATAGGCTAAATGGCTGTGTTGCTTTGTAACATTTTAATGGTGTTTATTAATATTAGTCAAAGCTCTTTTTCTATATGTGGTCACTAATTAGTCTAAGTTACTATTTTTTTTAAATAGATGATATTTAACCATTACTAGGATATGTGAAATAATGTTTCTGTTCAGAATATTTACAGAATCCTGTATTTCCTTTTATTTAAAGTAAAATGTGAGTTTGGCCATGACCATTTTTCCATTCTTGTCATCTCAGGCTATTTCTTATGAGGGTCATGGATATCCCATATCTCAATTTGGAAGGACCAGACTGTAAGTGATTTTGATTTTTTTGAATTTGAAAAATTCAGTATGTGATATTTAGGACTAGCTGATGAAATATCTCTTAAGAAAGCTCCTGATTCATTTCAAAGTGGACAGTGACTGTATGGCTAGGGTAATTAAAATAATAGGGCCCTTCAGCTTTGATTAATTCCTACTTATATTTATTTCCCATTGTTTATATGATTTGGAGTTTCTTTTTCATATGGTTTCTAAAGTATTTATTTCAACCAGAACTCTAATTTCATGATTTCTTCCAGATTTTTATGACCAGTTTATAAAGAAAAATTAGACATTTGTTTCACTTATAGTTATTCACTAAACTCAATATTTCTTCCACAATTACCTTTAAAAAAAAAAAACTACTGCTAGTATTTGGAGATTTTTCTCCCATTAAAAAACCTACAAAAACCCAATATATTTAGAAGAAAAATGCTTATCATTTTTCTCTTCTGCCTGCCTCATTCATCTTTCCCTTTTCTGCTTTACTTAGACAATGTGCCTCAGGGGTGAAGAATTGAGAGACTTATATTTAAGCAAAACTGCTGCATATAGGTTGGGCAATGAGTTATTCATTTTCTTCTAAACCAACATATGGAATAAATAGATTAAAATGAGAAGAAATGGTTCAGTGAAAGATCCTGAACAAAGAGATCATTGTATCTTTAAAAATAAAATTAGTTAGAGCTACAAGGCAATTTTGTAAAAAGAAAGAATATTCTAGCATAAGGACTCTGGGAGATTCTCACAGCGTAGGCAGCTTGGTGGCACAGTGGATAGAGGGCTGGGCCTGTAGTCAGGAAGACCTGAGTTCAAATATGGCCTCAGACACTTTCTAGCTGTGTGACCCTGGTCAATTCATTTAACTTCTGTTGGCCTCAGTTTCCTCATCTGTAAAATGATGATAATAATAGCATTTATTTAATCCTTACTACTCCTAGGTAGTTGTAAAGATTAAATGTGATAGTTATAAAATGCTTAACACAGTACCTGGTATATAGTAGACATTATATAAATGTTAGCTATTGTTTGTTGTTGTTATTACAATTATAATTATTACTATAGTAGAAAACTAAGGTCTTGTGTAAGATGATAGTCTTCTTAATCTTATTAACAAGTCATAGTTGTTGAGCACCATTTGTTAATCATGTAACAATGGGGCAGCTAGGTGGCGCAGTGGATAGAGCACGGGCCCTGAATTCAGGAGGACCTGAGTTCAAATGTGGTCTCAGACACAACACGTACTACCTGTGTGACCTGGTCACTTACCCCCATTGCCTAACCAAAAAAAAAATATCACGTAACATTAATAGAGAATCCCCACGTTAGTCTGGGTTTGGTATCTACCAGAAAATGTGTGTTGTAGCAAAATAAGTTTAAGGTAGTAAAGCATCTGGTTGCCTTTGGAATAGGAAATACAGTAAATATACTTGAATCACCTTTCAAATGTAAACCTTCCATTAAAAATGTGTCTCATAGTGCAACCTAAACGAGATCATGTTCTACATGTGACATTCCCCAAAGAGTGGAAAACCAGTGACCTATACCAGCTTTTTAGTGCCTTTGGTAAGTGACTTAAAGTTAGATTTACTTTTGTAGTTTTTGGTTTTTTGTTTTGTTTTGTTTTTGTTTTGTTTTACCTTTGCTTGGATGGTATGTAGAAAACATCAGTTTAGGAATAAAGAAATGTTATATGCAAGGTTTTAACCTTATTCTTGGTCTTCCTCATTATAGCATAATGTAACCTTTAATAAAAACTATCAAGAGTTTTAATATTTAGGAAATACCACAACAAAGCAAGATAAACTTATTTTTGATGTAGCTAAATTTCTCTTGTGTCTCCATGGAAAACCAAGAAGTCCAGACAAAGAATAACATCTCTTATTTCGCACTCTTTGCTTTTTTTTTTTTTTTAAAGTATATGATAAATTCTGTACATTGCTTTCAAAATGGTCTGGCTTATCTCTGCTTCTTTCTGAATTTTCAGTTCTTTGCATTTAAAACAGTGGTTGAAGAGGCAGTCTAAGGTATCCTGTCTTATTTTAGTTTTTTTCTTATGGCTTATGGATCAGGAATTTTTTTAGCACTACGTTATCATATAGCTCCTTCAAGTTGCTCAAATAAATTAACTTTTTAAACTATCTCTCAACTCTTGTGTTTGTATTTCAGAATTCCTACTCAGCTCTTGTCTTTTCATTGGAAATGGTTGAAAATCTTCTATTAAAGATTAATTTTTCTTTTTACCTATATACTCAGCTTTTCTGGTTAAGTTATTCTTGTTGTAAGTGTATATTTTTTAACTTTTGGAATATTGTATTCCAAGATCTCCTCTCATGTACTGTTAAAGCTGCTACATCTTGTTCTGTGGTATTTAAACTTCTCTCTGGATGCTTGCAATATTCTTTCTTTCACTTAGAAACTCTGGATTTTGGCAGTAACATTCCTGGAACTTGTCTTTTTGGGTTACTTTCAGGAGGTAAATGGTAAATTCTTTCAAACTTTACTTCGTCCTCCAGTTCTAATAGATCTAGATAGTTTTCATTCGTGATTTCTTGAAATATGTGCTTTCCTAGCTATTGTCCCTATTGGGCTTTTGTGTGGAAGAGCTCTTGCGCCTTTGCTGTCCTAGTCTGAATATTGTTGTTCTCTTGGTTACTGCCCTTTATCCTGGGGCTCCTCCAGGCTTCCAGTGTCTCCATTATGAGGTTTTCTGATCACATTGGAGCTTTATAACCCCTCTGGCTCTTTTTTAGGGAAGCTCAGTTTCCAGTTTTGTGACTCTGGAAATAGATGGCAAAAAGTGTTCTATCTTCTCACTGGGAAAGGATAGTTCTGACTTTTCTGAGATGAAAGGTAGCCCTTTCCTATTGCCTGTGGGCTTCTGGCTTATTTTTTGTGCAGTTCTGGGTTGGAAGAGGTCACTTATTCTAATTTCTTATTAGATTTCTTTTAAGTGCATACTTAAGGGTTTTTTAGGAGTAGGTGTATGGGAGCCAGAGGCATCTAAGTGGCACAGTGGGTAGAGTACTGGCCCTGGAGTCAGGAGGACCTGAATTCGAATTTGGCCTCAGACATCTATTAGCTGTGTGACCCTGTGCAAGTCATTTAACTTCTGTTTACTTCAGTTTCCTTATCTATAAATTAAAATAAGCTGGAGAAGGAAACAGCAAACCACTCCGGTATTCTTGTCAAGAAAATCCTAAATGAGATCTTGAAGAGTTAGATACAGCTAAGCAACTAAATAACAGCAACATAATATTCTGTTTGAGCTAAATCCCCAAAGTTTTGGTATGTTGTTTCATTATTTTCATTGATGAAATTTTCTCTTATTTCTTTTATTTGCCAGTGCTTTAGGATTAAATTAGTATCCAATTAATTTTTAATACTTTCTTCAGAGGCCTTATATTGAATATAATTTTTTTTGCCTTGCAGTCAGTAAAGGAAATGTTTAGTATTTGTTTTATTTGTTTGCAAAGTGTTTATGCTTCAATGTATGGTCAGTTTTTGTATATTTGCTGTATATACTTGAAAATCATGTATTTTCTTATCATTCACTAATCACCAGGGATGAATTATCTTTAATATTTTTCTACTCTATTTTAAGTTCTCTTTGGTTTCTTAACTTCTTTCTTGTTTATCTTTTTGTTAGATTTGTCTAGGTTTGAAAGTGGTATATTTTGATCCCCTACTACTAGAATTTTATTCTGTATTTCGCTCTACAATTCATTTATATTTTTTTCTTTTAGTATTCAGATGTTATGTATTTGGTGCATATATTGGTTTATTATCTATAGAACCTTTAAGCATAATATTATTTCTTTGCTTATCTCTTTTTTGTTTATTTTTTCTGTTGCTTTATACTTCTTGCTGCATTGCCAGCCTCCTCACGTGAAAAGACCTCATACTGCAGGTGCATCAGGGCATAGCACATCCCCTGAGGAAAAGCTGGTGGGCCCAAGCCAGATGTTTTTTATTTGCATAGGGTGTCTACCCCTCCCTGCCGCTACCTCATAGCCAGCTACCTCAGATGAGAAGACCTCAGACCACAAGTCCACTAGTGTCCTGAGCCTTCCATCTCCTGCTTGGTGCAGCATGTCCCCTGAGGAAAGGCTTCTTGCGACCAGGCTAGGCATCCATCATTTTCCCCAAAGCAACTGCTTCAATCTGTACCAGTACAAGGCATCTGCCACCTTGTGCTACCAGTCCAGTCTCCCTACTTAATAATGTGGAGAACCTCCAGTGCAAAGAACAATTCTCCCTTCAACTTCAGTTCTCCCATCTCCTGCTGTGCCCGTTCTTTGAGAATTGAGCAGTAGCACCCACCACTCAATGATGAACATTCTTACACCTGGTCATACACTTCACATCCCAGTGAGGCTGAACTTCTGTGGTTCACCATCTAAACTCCACTCAACACCCAATTCCTCATTTTCATCCCCCTCAGCCCTCCCACCCCAAAATTTTATCCTAATTGTACCTGGTACTTTCATTGTGCCTTCTGGAATGCCTGTTCCATAGGCAACGGACTTCCTTTCATCTTAAATCTTTTCCTCTCCCACTGCTTCCATTTACTAGCTCTTTCTGAAAGCTGACTTTCCCCTGCTGAAACAGCTTCCCTGATTACCCTTTGCAGTCCTGGCTACGCCTTCCCTCATTCTTCTTCGTTCACTGATCCAGACAGAGTAGTTGGAATTCTTCTTGATCCTCATTGACATTTCCAGGTTCTGCCCCTTCCTCCTTCATTCCATAACCTCTCTTCCTTTGTGACTTATGCTGTTCATATGTACTACTCAATCAAAATACTGTAGTGGTTGTCTGCAGACACTGCCTTTCCCCCGGTCACTCTCCTTTCCTCAATGAGTTGAATATTTTGCTTACAGTTTTTCTCTCCTACCCAATACCTGCCTGTTATACATATTGATTCTCCCTCAGATATCCTAAGCAGTGGGTTTCCCGACCTCTTCTCTTCTCGTAAGCTACTCCTCTTCCATCCCACCTCAGCCACACGCAAAAATGGTCATACCCTTGATCTTGCTATCACCCACAAATGTACCACCTCCATGTTAAAAAATTCTGAAATCATCTTATCTGACCATAATCTATTGATCTTTCAACTTTCCTTCTGCCTTCCCTTATATAACCCTACTCTTCATCCTCACTGTAACCTCTAGTCCTTCAACCCAGTTTTCTTCAGGTCATCTCATCTGTACTAACCACTCTACCCTCTCCTACCCATTTTGACTCCTTGGTAAACCGACTCAACTTTATACTCTCCTACTCTTGAGTCCCTTGCCCCCTTATCATATTGCTGATTATACCCAGCCAAGCCTCAGTCTTGGATTACTCCCCCCCATTCATTGCCTTTGTGACTACACATGTCCTGCTGAATGAAGGTAGAGAAAATCGCACAACCGTTCCAACTACAAATGCGTGTTACATAACCTCAATTGAACCCTCAACTGCTGCAATTCAGTCCTATTATACCTCTCCTATCAACTCACCGTCCCACTCTCCAAAGCAGCCTTTCTAAACCTTTTCATCTCTCCTTGAACCTCCCATGGCTCTTCTTCCCTACTGTCAGCTGAGAATCTTGCCTCATGTTTTACAGAAAAAAGTAAGGCCATTCACCATCCTTCCTCATCTCCTGTCATTTTAGGTGTCTCTTCTACTTTCTCTTTCTCTACTCCTGTTTCACTTGATGAAATGGCCTTACTCCTCACCAAGACTAACTCTTCTACTTGTTCAAATGATCCCATTCCATTCTGTTTCCCCCAGTAGATTGCCCCCTCTGTCAGTCTGACTCTCTCACTTATTTTCAATCTTGCCCTCTTTACTGGCTCATTTCCTGCTGCCTACAAACATGCCAAAGTCTCTCCCATCCTGAAAAAACCCTCACTTGATCCTTCCATCCCTGTTATCCTATTTCTCTTCTGTCCTTTGTAGCTAAACTCCTCGAAAAGACTGTCTACAATAGATGCTTCCATTCCATTCTCTCTCACACACTGTCTTTTTTTTTTTTCCTGGCTTTTTAAAATTAATTTATTTTTAGTTTTCAACAGTCACTTTCATGAGCTTTTGAGTTTTAAATTTTTCACTCCCTCCCTCCCCACCTTCCTCCCAAGATGCTGTGCAATCTGATATAGGCTCTACATATACATTTCTATTAAATATATTTTCACATTAGTCATGTTGTAAGGAAGAATTAGAACTAATAGGAGGAACCACAAGAAAGAAGAAACAAAACAAAACAGAAGAAAAAAAGAGCAAATAGTATGCTTCGATCTGCATTCAAACTCTATAGTGTTTTCTCTGGAAGTAGATAGCATTTTCCATCATGAGACTTTTGGAGATGTCTTAGATCCTTGCATTGCTAAAAAGAGCTAAGTCTGTCAAAGTTATTCATTACACAGCATGGCTGTTATTGTGTACATTCTCTTGGTTCAGCTCACTTCACTCAGCATCAGTCCATACAAGTCTTTCCAGGTTTTTCTGAAGTCTGCCTGCTCGTCATTTCTTATAGCACACTAGCATTCCATTCCATTCATATACCACAACTTGTTCAACCA